CATCAGTGTGAGAGCACAACATCTATTGGCTGTCTCCTGCATACCCCCCACCAGGAATCGAGCCCACAACCTGGGCATGAGCCCTTGACTGGGAATCAAACTGGCAACCTTTTGGTCCACAGTATAATGCCCAACCAACTGAGCCAGACTGGCCAGGGTTTAAACTTTATTTTTAATTATAGTTCATATTCAATATTACTTTATATCTGTTTCAGGTATACAGCATAATGGTTAGACAACCATATACTTTACAAAGTGATCCCCCTATACTGTCATTATTTCTTCAAATAGATTTTCAGTCTCTTGTTCTCTTTCTATTCTCCTTCTGGTATCTCTATGATGCAAGCATTGGTACACTTGATATTGTCCCAGTGATCCCTTAAACTATCCTCATTTAAAAAAAAAAANAGTCTCTTGTTCTCTTTCTATTCTCCTTCTGGTATCTCTATGATGCAAGCGTTGGTACACTTGATATTGTCCCAGTGATCCCTTAAACTATCCTCATTTTAAAAAAAAATTTTTTTTCCCCACTGTTCTGTTTAGGTGTTTTCTGTTACTCTGTCTTCCAAATTGCTGATTCAGTCCTCTGCTTCATCTACTGTGCTATTGATTCCCTCTATAATATTCCTTATTTCAATTATTGTATTTTTCATTTCTTACTGGTTATTTTATGTTTTCTACCTTCATTTTTATGTTTTATATCTCTTTGTTAAAATTCTCAGAGTTCGTCTTCTCTTCCCCTAAGTTTTTTGAGCATCCTTATAACCAGTGTTTTGACTTCTGCATTTGGTCAATTGCTTGTATCCATTTATTTAATTCTTTTTCTGAAGTTTTGTCCTGTTCTTTTATTTGGGACATGTTTCTTGGTCTCATTTTGGTTTATTTCATATGTTTGTTTTTCTGTATTAGGTAGATTTGCTCTGTCTTCCATCTTGGCAGATTGATTGATCTTATGTAGTAGATGTCCTGTGGAGCCCAGTAGCGCAGTCTCCCTGGTCACCTGAGCCAGGTGCTTCAAGGGTGTCTCTTGTGTGGGTTGTGTGTGCCCTCCTGTTGTAGTTGAGCCTTAATTGCTATGGGCTCATTAGTGGAAGGCATTGATCCTCAGATTGGCTTGCTGCAAGGAATGGCAGTCACTATATCAGATGAGCTGTTGTGTAGGGGCTAACCCTATGGAGCCCGATTCATTTTAGTGGGGCTGCAGTGCCTGCTGAGTCTCCTCTTTGGGTGTCTTTGTGGAGCTAATTAGGTGGTATTCTGGTGTGGTCTGAAGCCAGCCACTGGGTATGTTGGTTCTGGACCTCTTGGGAGGGGCTCTGGTGCAGGCTACGTCAACCACTGCCTGTGCCTAGCCTGGGACTACCTGGTTGGAGCTACAAAATTACCTGCAGATGGCTGTCACTTGTGGTGGGCCTAGACATGCTTGGGAGAGGCTAACTGCAAACCAAGACCAGCTGCCATTGGTGGTAGGTTTGGAGTCACTTAGAAAGAGGTACAGGGCACACTGAGGCCAGACACTGCTTCTTTGGGATTTTTTAACCTTTGAAAGATTTTAGGAAAGTCCATAGCTTACACTGAGACTGGCCATTTGTATGGAAAAGCTACTTGGAGGAGCTTGGGTGGGCCTATGAGTTGGGTGGGACAGGGTCTCAGGGAATCACCAGGGTGGGACAAATGGTGTTAGCCACATTGATGGAGATTCAGACCTGTTGCCCACCTGTGCCTGCAGACTGTTGTGGGAGAACTCAACACAGGAACAATGGCATCTTCTAGCATTTCTGTTGGGGAGAAAGCTGCCCCTCCAGCCCTCACCTTGAAGCCAGACAATTTGTGTCCTTGGTGTCTTTCCAGCTGCTGCCCCAGTGCTGGAGCTCAGAGCTAGTTAGTCCGTGTGCAGGCCTTTCTAGAGGAACACCTGGGACTCCAGCAGCCCTCTGTCCCACTCGGCTGAAATCCTCTCTGGTTTTCACAGCCAGAAGTTACGGGAACTTCTCTTCCCAGCACTGGAACCCTGGGTTGGAGAGCCTTGTGTGGGTTTGGTACCCCTTCGTTTTGTTATGGGGAGATCTTCTTCGCCAAGATATTCCTCCTGTTTCTTTACCTCTACACTGTGGTTGTGGGACCAGCTCATTTGCATCTCCAACCACTCCTACTAGTCTCAACATGGCTTCTTCTCTATATCCTTAGTTGTAGGACTTCTGCTTAGTTAGTCTTTGGCTGGTTGCCAAGGATGATGGTTCTGTAATTTAGTTGTAATTTTGATGTGATTGTGGGAGGAAGCGAGCACAGCATTTACCAACTCTGCCATCTTCTGGTTTTTGATAGTAGCTATCTAATGGGTGTGAGGTGAAATGGGATTTGTAAAAGACTAATTGAAGAGCCAAGAGAATAAATTGAGAACAAAAATACAAGATTTGAACAAGAAAAAAAAGAACAGACATTGTGGAAAATCAAATGAGTGATATGGGGAAAGGCAGGAGCTCATCGCAGGGAGTTAAAGCAGTAAGAGGAAAAATGATAGCCGTGGAGGATAGGCAAAGCCATACAGCATATGAAGCAGAAAAAGAATGAAAAGATATAACACAAGAAGATTTTTCTGAAAGGGAGAAAGAACTAAATCTTTGGTCACAAGATCATGCTACACTCCTGGCAAAGCAGAGAGAAAATTACCAATCTATACATACCTGGTCTAGAGCTTCAGTACTATAGACTGCAGACAGAAAAAGCAAGTTATATAAAACGGGGATATCAAGTTGGTATTATAATTCTCCACATCGACATTCTCTACCATGAAATAGGAGCAAGGTCTACAAACTTGTAAGAGGAATAAAATTATTAAAATTATATTTATAATTCAGAAGTATAACATTTAAATAATATAATACAACAATTTTAAGTATATATTAAGTTATTATTTAGCAGTGAAGGCAATAGCAGACAGTCTTGATTTGAAAGAACTAAAAGAAAATACTAACAATGAGCATTTCCTGAGAAAAACTACCCTATGATGAAATTAACCCAAAGACTCAAATCAAAATAACAGACTCAGGAGTAGAAATTCTATGATTAAAAAAGCAGTAACAACAAAAAACAGACCGGTGAACATTCAAACCATTATACTGTAGTTTTAGGACTAAACAACTGGGGAGGTGGGTATTATTGTTACAGAAGCATATAAATGTTATGCACCTGGCAAAATAAAAATGATGTAAGCAACAAAAATCAAGAAGTGTGAGGAAAGGGAGAGGAAATATAAAGTGTTCATTATAGAGCATTAATGTTAAAACATGCAATATATCACTTAAATTTTCATACATTTTTTTCTCAGCATTGATTCTTGTATGTGTGTGTGTGTTTTAAATATTTTAACTGCAGATCAGAAAGCCATTTAGTTTCTCTTCTTTTTCTTCTGTTATATTAAAACAAAATTAAATAACTCTTAGGAAAAAAGCTGTTATATTATTCTTCTAGCAATATATGTCCAAAATTATGTTTAACAACTGTAAGTACAATGGTGGGATATTGGGTGATTTGTTTTCTTTTTCGTACTTTTTTTGTGTTGCTTGAATTTTTTTAATGAGCCCATATTTTTTATAAAAGCCATAAAATTATTACTGTTAATATAAAATATTGGTCAGTAGTATCATTGTTCTAACTGCTCCTTAGTCATTTTTTTAAAAGTTACAATCTCGATAAACACTGGAAAGAGTCTTTAACAATAATTTTACAACTCATGCCTAACATATTGGTAACTGCCAAAGGCATGTGAGTGGAAACATTAGCTATTCTAATAAGATACCTTTTGTCTTCTTACTGAATTCATAAATCAGGACAGTGAGCTAGTGAGTGTGAAGTGGGATTGACCTGTGATGCTGGTGACAGAAAGTGTCTGAACCAGGAATATGAAGACCTCACTTCTAGCCCTGGCCTAACCAGGAACCAGCACCATAATTTAGGATATTTGGAGTCCTCAATCTCTGCACTTTGCCACAGTAAACTTCTTTCACTTTCTTGAATGTGCCATGTTCTGCTGCCTCAGGGCTTTTGCATATGCAGTTCATTCTGCACAGGGTACATACACTCCTTTCCCTTCACTGGGCTCCTTCCCATGTTCAGGACTTAGCTTTAACTGCCTTCCTCTGAAGGCCTTCTGTGTAACCGATGGCACTTCTCATTGGATATGCTGGGAACATATAGTCACTCACTAAAGGTCAGACTTCCTCAGCAGACTGGCCTCCAAGATACTGGAATCCAGTTTAGGACGGCAAGGTCAGGTCCTCAGCACATACTTTCTTTTCCTCCTCTCAGTTCTGCCAGGATGGTAACCCTCCTCCTTGGCCTGTGCTGGAACCGTGAACTTGGCTCTTCTCTCTACCTGCTACCTCATGGCCTCGAAGTCTTATTTTTTCTCAGCAGCCTTCTTGGCTCCTGCTTCTGGTAGAAGCTGCAACTTTTCTTGGTAATGTTCAAGTTTGTCCGGAGAGAGTAGCTGTTCTGTTTAGTATGTTACCCTCTAGCCAGTCCTGCGGGAGACAGTGTCACCCCTGCTCCCACTGGCCAGTGCTAGAGGGAACTGGGGCCCATGCAGGCATCCTCACGGTCCCCCAGAACTCCCTGCTTGGCCTCTCTGGTGAGAGAGATGTGCAAACAGCATGTTACAAAGCAGTATGTGCGATGTAATCCTAAATGTATGTTTTTGTAGAGAGAGGACTGAAAGGAAATAGATCCAGTTATTATCAATTGATTTCTCTGGTGGGATTTCTAGTTATTTTTATTTTCTTGTTTTCAAATTTTCGGTAATAAATGCTGACTTTTCATAGATGCTGAATGGTATTTCCTAAGCCCCTATCTATGGCTTTATACTGAGGAGCCCCCAAGAAGACTGAAAAATTGGCCCCTGACATTTGGTAGTCTATGCCAATCTCCCCACATTTTTCCTTTTTGCCCCCTTTTGATGTGTTTGCTTGCTCTTTTCACCTTGGTGTCTTTCTCCTCCCCAGATGACCGGATAACTGGCATTCCTCCGCACATCCTCAACAGCTCCCCATCAGACCGGCAGATTAACCAGCTGGCCCAGAGACTGGGCCCTGAGTGGGAGCCCATGGTGCTGTCTCTGGGACTGTCCCAGGCAGATATCTACCGCTGTAAGGCCAACCACCCCCACAACGTGCAGTCGCAGATGGTGGAGGCCTTCGTCCGCTGGAGGCAGCGCTACGGGAAGCAGGCCACCTTCCAGAGCTTGCAAAGGGGCCTCCAGGCCGTGGAGGGGGACCCCTCAGTACTCCAGCACATGTTGGAATGATGGTGCCTCCATCAACTCTCTAGGGAGTGCATCCCCAAGTCACATATGCTCAGGCAGGTAGTTTTGTGTGTGTGTGTGTGTAATTTCTTTTTAATGATCCTTAGATGAAAGGAGAAAATAGGATTTCCACTTGACATTACCTGAAAGGCTGGGTTACTCATATCTCCCACATTGACTTGACAATTCATTGTTTTTAATCACTTGAAGGTTTCATTGTCTTAATTGTTAAGGTTTTAATTGTATGGGTTACCTTTTGGTAGCCTGGTAAAGCATAGTGGCTCAAAACTATACTTTGTTATCACATTACATGCAGGTGTCCTATGCATAAAACATCCACTTTTACGTTGCCTGGGAACTGAACTGTGGACTTTGCTATTAATGATGATGATGATAATAAAAAGTGAATTACTATATATAATGTGGCCCTTTCATGAGAAAGTGTTATTTGTTTTTTCCTCATTCTTATATGCATAGATTAAGGGTGTAAATTTACAGTTATCATTTCTTTGGAACAGAATTGATAGCAACAAGAAAATGGTTACTTTCTTCAGTCAAGATAAATAGCTTCGGCAGGGTGTCTGCATTAAATTTTAGACACTAAAGCTCCCTGCAAGACCAGTTCAAGTACCAGCATGTATACATGAGCCCTTCATCTTTAAGAGATTGCTTAAGAAATCCTGTACCATTTATTTAAAGGATTTAGTCCCTGGACAGAAGGGGCTCTGGTCTTTCCATTGAAGCCCTAATGATTGAAGTGTTATGCTCTTAAGGAGTATGATTTAGCTTTCTGTCCTTTTATTAATAATATGTGTTATTTGTCAGTGCTTTACTGTTTTCAAGGCTTTTCACATATGGGATCTCATTTGTACCTCACAAAAATCCTATGAAGTAGTTGGGCAAGAGGGGTGAGCCTCCGTCTACAGGGAGATTAGTGGTTGGCCTGGGCGAATGAGCTGGATTGTGTGCTTTGGAGCGCTGTTCCTGGGTGCCCTTTGCAACTTCTCGTGTGGCTTCTCCTTTCCCATATGTGCTCATTGAAGAAGCTGAGACCTGCTCTCTGCCTGCTGGCAGCATCACCTTGAATAAGTTACTTCACTTCTCTGAGCCTCTCAGTGTCCTCATTTTTAAAATGAGGAAATGATTGTCTTCACCTCCAAGATATTTGGAATGATGACTGCCAAGGGCTCATCTAGTGGCTGTCTGGTCCACAGTCACCTCGCAGGAAATGGTAGCTGTTAACCTGCTGCTGTGGCTGAACCTGGACGCAGTTCACAGACGAAGCTGCGAAGTGGCTAAAGCTGAGCACACTGTAGGAAGATCCGTCACTACCCGGTTTCTTGCTAAGCTTTAAAATGTGATGTGATTTTATTAACTCTACAGTGGGTCCAATCAAGAGAGGGACAGGTGAACATCCCCAATTTATGATTTGACCTTCTGAGTAATCAGAGAATCTACTTCTTAATCCTAACCTAACTCAGGATGTTTCAAAGGGGGGAAAATTATACCTTTTTCTCTCTTCATTCTGAGGTCAGGTGTATAGAGTAGTAGACTTGAGCATGAAGTGGGTACTCAAAAGATGACAGTGGTGTGTTGACAACATCCTTTTGGATGTCTGGCAACCATATTCCCTTTACTAAAAAAGATCAGTAATTTCACGGTTCAACAGACAGTTCAGCAGAATGGTCTACTGTTTCATCAGCTCTAATTTTCCATTTTGTAGCCCAGCCATTAATTTGTTATTTTGTAAAATTCTAATACTTTTGGCCCCATCACTGAATCCAGTGGCAGACTGTACTTCTACGGCATCTTCAATAAACTGCTTGTCATTTTGAACCATGGACTTGTTATGTTACTATTCATGCCCCTGGGTTTGCTAACAGAGAGTTGCTTTGGCTTTTGCTCTCACCACATTTATGGATGAGAGTATAGCTGGGCTCTGCTGCGTCTGACTAGATGGCATTTTAGAGGTGGGTCGGATGATTCGTTAGATCATCTTCCTGCCATTTGTAAGGAATCTGTCATGTACAGAGACACTTCTGTGCTCTGTCAACAGTGAAAGACAAGTCATGATGAAGCTCCCATCACGGGCTGCCGGGGCCATTAGAGAGCTCTGACTCGCTGCCCTTAATGAACAGGGTGTCTCCAGTATTGCATGGCAGCCGCACCTGTGTGGGCCTGCTCCCATTCTTGCAGAAGATTTGCAGAATGGAAGAACAGAGCATCCAGATCACTGCCTCATTTCTACCTCTGGCCTCAGAGAGTAACGCTACATGACGTCAGACTACCTCTCGAGAGAGTCAGGTAGGTGTTGTGCTGGCAAGGAGTCCATGTGTATTTGAATGGAAGAGGGCTCTACAATTCCAGAGATTGCCTGTTCCTATCAATATCCTGAATGAGTGCAATGACATGGCCGAGCATTTGTAGGCACTGACGAAAAAAAAGTCTTGCTCCAATTTGGTTTCATGTGTGGGTGTGTGGGGGTGGGTGTGCGTGTTTGTACATATTCAAGTATGTGCACATGTATGAGTATGCCCTCACACTTTTTTCCCACTTCATCTAATTCTTTTTTTATTGTTGATACTATTATAGATGTCCCCCACTCCTCCCCCAATTTTCCCCCCTCCACCCAACCCCTGCCCACCCCTGGCCTTCATCACATTGTTATCTGTGTTCATGGGCTCTGCATATAGATGTATATATTCTTTGGCTAATCTCTTCCAGTCCCCCTATTCCCCTCCCCTTTGAGATCTGTCAGTCTGTTCCATGCATCCATGCCTATGGTCCTATTTTGTTCCTCAGTTTATTTTGTTCATTTGATTCCACCTATAAATCAGATCATATTGTATTTGTCTTTCTCTGACTGGCCTATTTTGCTTAGCATAATAATCTCCAGGTCTACCAATGCTGTCACAAAGGATATGAGTTCCTTCTTTTTTATAGCTGTGTGGTATTCCATTGTGTAAATGTATAGCACCTTTTTTATCCACTCATCTACTGATGCGCACTTGGGCTGCTTCCAGGTCTTAGCTATTGGAAATAACGCTGCTAAAACATAGGGGTGCATATATTCTTTCTGAATGGTGTTTTGGGATTCTTAGGATATATTCTCAGAAGTGGGATCACTGGGTCGAATGGTAGTTCCATTTTTTAATGTTTTGAGGAAATTCCATACTTTTTCCCACAGTGGCTGCACCAGTCTGCGTTCCCATCAGCAGTGTACTAGGGTTCCCTTTTCTCCACATCCTCACCAGCACTTGTTAGTTGTTGATTTATTGATGGTAGCTATTCAGCAGGTGTGAGGTGATACCTCATCGTAGTTTAATTTGCATCTCCCTGATGATTAGTGACGTTGAGCATTTTTTCATATGTCTGTTGGCCATTTGTATGCCCTCTTTGGGGAAGTATCTGTTCAAGTCATTTGCCCATTTTAAAATTGGATTGTTTGTCTTCCGGGTGTTGAGTTGTATAAGTTCATTATATATTTTGGAAATTAACCCCTTATCAGGTGTATCATTGATGAATATGTTCTTCCATACAGTAGGTTCCCTTTTCATTTTGTTGATGGTTTCTTTTGCTGTGCAGAAGCTCTCTATTTTGATGTAGTCCCATTTGCTTAGTTTTCCTTTGTTTCCCTTGCCATAGGAGATATTGGCAGCAAAAATAATGCTATGGGAGATGTCTGAAATTTTAATGCCTTTATTTTCTTCTAGAATTTTTATGGTTTTGTGATTTACATTTAAGTCTTTTATCCATTTTTGAGTTTATTCTTATGTATGGTGTAAGTTAGTGGCCTAGTTTCATTTTTTAATTTTATTTTTATTGCATGTACCTGTCCAATTTTCGCAGCACTATTTATTGAAGAGACTGTTTTTACTCCATTGTATGGCCTTGCCTCCTTTGTTAAATATTAATTGGCCAAAATGGTGTGGGCAGATTTCTGGGACCTCTGGTCTGTTCCATTGATCTATATGCCTGTTCCTGTGCCAGTACCAGGCTGTTTTGATTACAGTGGCTTTGTAGTATAGTTTGATATCAAATATTATGATCCCTCCAACTTTGTTCTTTTTTCTCAAGATTGCTGAGACTATTTGGGGTCTTTTTGGGTTCCATAGAAATTTTTGGAATATTTGTTCTAGATCTGTGAAATATGCCATTGGTATTTTAATAGGAATTGCATTGAATCTATAGATTGCTTTGGGTAGTATGGACATTTTAATGATGTTCATTCTTCCAATCCATGAACACGGTATGTGCTTCTGCTTGTTTGTATCTTCCTCTATTTATTTCTTCAATGTCCTATAGTTTTCTGAGTACAGGTCTTTTATCTCCTTGGTTAAGTTTATTCCTAGGTACCTTTTTTGTTGTTGTTGTAATAGTAAATGGGATTGTTTTTATAGTTTCTCTTTCTGAGAGTTTATTATTGGAGTATAAAAATGCCACCAATTTCTGGATGTTGGTTTTTGTATCCCGTTACTCTGAATTCATTTATTAAATCTAGTAGTTGTTTTTTTTTAGTCGTTTTTTTTTAAATATATCTTTATTGATTTCAGAGAGAGGAAAGGAGAGGGAGAGAGATAGAAACACCAATGATGAGAGAGTCATTGATCGAGCCCACAACCCGGGCATGTGCCCTGACCAGGAATCGAACCCCAGTCGCCTGGATCCTAGGTCGATGCTCAACCGCTGAGCCACTCCCGGCTGGGCTAAATCTAGTAGTTTTTTGATGGAGTCTTTAGGGTTTTGTATGTACAATATTCATATCATCTGCAAATAATGACAGTTTTACTTCTTTCCAATTTGGATGCCTTTTATTTCTTCTTGTCTGATTGCTGTGGCTGAGACTTCTAGTACTGTGTTGAACATAGTGGACATCCCTGTCTTATTCCCAGTCTTGAAGGGAATTCTTGTAGTCCTTGCCCATTGAGTATGATGTGGGATGTGGGTTTGTCATATATGGCCTTTATTATGTTGAGGTATGATCCCTCTATTCCCACTTTGCTGAGAGTCTTTATCATAAACGGATGCTGGATTTTATCAATGCATTTTCTGCATCTATTGATATGATCATGTGATTTCATCCTTCATTTTGTGATGTATCACATTTATTGATTTGCGAGTATTGTACCAACCTTGCATACCTGGAATAAATTCCACTTGGTCATGGTGTATGATCTGTTTAATATATTGCTGGATCACATTTGCTAATATTTTGATGAAGATTTTAGCATCTATTGTCATAAGAGATATTGCCCTATAATTTTCTTTCCTTGTAGTATGTTTACCTGGTTTTGGAATTAGGATAATGCTGGCCTTATAAAAAGAGCTTGGAAGTCTTCCCTCCTCTTGAATTTTTTGGAGTAGTTTGAGGAGGATAGGTGTTAGTTCTTTGATTGTTTGGTGAAATTGGCCTGTGAGGTCATCCAGTCCAGGACTTTTGTTTTCTTGGAGTTTTTGATTACTACTTCAGTTTTATTAATTGTAATCTGTCTATTCAGATTTTCTGATTTTTCCTGATTCAGTTTTGGAAGATTGTATGTTCTTATGAATTTGTCCATTTTACCCAAGTTTTCCAGTTTGAAATCCTTTGTATTTCTTTGATTTCAGTTGTTACTTCACCTCTCTCATTTTGATTTTATATGAGTCCTCTCTGTGTTTCTTGATGAGTCTGGCTAAAGATTCATCAATCTTGTTTATCTTTTCAAGAACCAACACTTGATTTCATTGATCTTTTGTATTGATTTTTTTAGTTTCTATGTCATTTATTTTCACTCTGATATTTATTATTTCCTTTCTTCTATGTACTTTTGACATTTCTTGTTGTACTTTTTCTAGTTTTTTTAGGTGTAAGGTTAGATTGTTTATTTGATATTTTCCTTGCTTCTTGTAGTAGGTATGTAATGCTATGAACTTCCCTCTTAGGACTGCTTTTGCATTGTTTCATAGATTTTGGGTTGTTGTGTGTTCATTTTCATTTGTTTTCAGGTAATTTTTTATTCTTCCTTGAATTCATTAGTAACCCATTCATTGTTTATTAACATGGTGTTTAGCCTCCACGTGTTTGAATGTTTTTGAGTTTTTTATTGTAGATGATTTCTAGTTTCATGCCATTGTGATCCAAGAAGATGCTTGATATGATTTTAATCTCCTTGAATCTGTTAAGACTTGTTTTGTATCCTAGCATGAGGTCTGTCTTTGAGATGTTCCATGTGCACTTGAGAAGAAAGTATGTTCTGCTGCTTTGGGATGAAATTTTCTGTAAATATCAATTAAATCCATCTTACCTAGTGTGTTATTTAAGGTCACCATTTCCTTATTGATTTTTTTTGTCTGAAAGATCTATCCAGTAATGTCAGTGGGATGACAAAGTTCCCTACTAGGACTGTATTGCTGTTGATCTCTCCCTTAAAGTCCCCCAAGAATTTTTAAAATATATTTGGGTGCTCCTATGTTGGGTGCATATATGTTTACCAGGGTTATATCCTCTTGTTGAATCAATCCCTTTTGTGTAATGTAGTTTCCTTCTTTGTCTCTTGTTATGACCTTTGCTTTGAAGTCTATTTTGTGAAATATAAGTATTTCTACCAGTTTTTTTTTCCCATTTGCATGGAATATTTTTTTCATTCCTTCACTTTTAGTCTGTGTGAATCTTTTGTTCTGAGTTGGGTCTGTTGAAGACAGCATATATATAGGTCATGCTTTCATATCCATTCAGCTACCCTATGTCTTTTGATTGGACCATTAAATCTATTTACATTTAAGGTTATTATTGATAGGTTCTTATTTATTGCTATTTTTATTCTTTATGCCTATGTTCCTCTCTATTTCTTCTTCCAGCA